CAAAAGAAACTTTAAACTAGCCGCTATCAGTCAAAAGAAATCCGAGCCGATTCGACTGATCATTAGTGAAGATATTAAAATTTCTTTTTGTTCAATTATTTCTGAGACACCCTGTATGGGCGACTATGGAAACATTCGAAGGTTCGGTGAAGTTCAAATTCGAGTTCAGGTATTTCCGAACATTGTTAACTGTTTTTAAGATGCCTGCAGAGCTTTAGATTTTGGATCATTTATTTTATGGTCTGTAAACATACTATAGCCGACGCATGCACGCAGCCAGAAATCTGTGAGAGAGATCGGAATAGAAAAAAAGTACTTCTCGGTTTGCGACAACTAGTCAACCCGCATCCCCCCTAGATATTAAATCTTCGCGTGGGGGATTGATTTATCCAATCATTTCCTGGCTGTGTCCCTAAACCAACTATGAAATCCTTTCTTTTGGCATACTTCTACTATCTTTTATTGATTATAAACCCTGAACAAGCGTAACGAGAAAATGCTGCTAGAAACTACCGATGGATGGCAGCTCTTTGTCACCAATCTCGATGTCGAAGCATCGGGTCATCTTTTTGTGGAATATGCTATCTAGCAAGATGTTGCTCAAAGTACAGTATCAATAAATAAAGCTATTTACGTATTTCTTAGCTGATGTGATGTGCCAGAGGTCAAAGAAAGACAAATGACTGTTTTTATTACGACTTGTGCCTTTTATACCGTTATAGAAAAATACAAAGAAATTTTTTTTTCTTTTAATGGAACTTTCGAGTCGTGGAGAAAAAAACTGTATTCAACAGCAAGAATGTTTGTACAGAAGCTTGACAAACACTGTTGACTATGCGATTTCAAATTTTCAAGATTGAAATTGCCGTCTACTTCACTTTTTTAAATTAGTCCATTTTCGCCGAAGCTGAATTTAGCCGAAAGTTAATTTTCATCGAAGAAATTTCACTAATTTAATGGTCGCCAATTGAATTCATGACAGAAAACGGATCTGAGTTGAATATGATTGGTGAGGGTGAGACAAGCTCCCATGACGTATATTTCGACCTTGCTCAAGGATCTTATCGAATGGCTTATTGTTCTGAATTAAGGGTGTGGGTGTGGGTGTGGGTGTGGGTGGGTGTGGGTGTGGGTGGGTGTGGGTGTGGGTGTGGAAGTGGGTGTGCGTGTGGGTGTGGAAGTGGATGTGGAAGTGGGTGTAGGTGTGGGTGTTGGTGTGGAAGTGGGTGTGCGTGTGGGTGTGGAAGTGGGTGTGGAAGTGGGTGTGGAAGTGGGTGTAGGTGTGTGGTATGGGTGTTTGTCTTCTCTTCACCTGCACTCCCACCGACACCCACACACCACTCCCACCGACATCCCACACCCACCCATACCCACATCCAGTCTGTGATAGGTCCAAAGCCATATCTGTCACGGTCTGTGGGGGAGGGGAGGCGAGGTGGGTCTAAATTTCTACTCCTAAACACTTCAACACGCCTGTCAGATCGTGTTTCACAAAAAATATACATAGTGATGAACCGTTAATGTTTCTAAAAGATTAGATTATATTATAATCGATTAAAGAGTGTTTACATGGTGCGAAAAAAAAAAACAACAAGAAGCAGCCCAAACAATAGAGCCCTTTCACGGTGAACAGGGGCACTACATGTAGCTGTTGGATTGATTTCCGATTTATACGAGACCAAAATCATTGACGCCGGATTGGTGAATTGACCACTTGTGACCGAGTTGATCCAAGACTGAAAAGCGGCTATACGTGTGTAACTGCCAGCATAAGCCTCTCGAGCGCAACCAATACCACTACTTGTTGCACCGACCAAAACCCACTGATTACTCCAAGTGAAAGCCATTAGAGGACCACCAGAATCACCTTGACACGTATCTGCAAAAACGAAAAGAAATTAATTTCATGGCGGGTGAATGCAAAATATTAGTTAGCATATCTTTGCATTTTGAAGCAGCACACAATTGAACCGATCGATTTTTCATGATGGGAGCACATGTTGATGATTGCCATGCAACAGTTTCTAAGGTTACTTGTTGAAGGGTCGATGATGTGACACCATTTTCTCTTAATGTTCCCCATCCCACAGCGACTACCTAGATTTCCGTATAATATCATTTCGAAAAAGTCTTGAGCACTTACGGTTGTTATAGCTAGAGGCCATTCACCAGCTGATAGCGTTGAAGAACTGACAGATGGAAGACAAATGGCACTAACAGCCGGGTCATTCATGTTCAGCGCACTTGCCAGATAAAGAAGCGCAATGTCATTTACATAGGTGAACCGATTATAACTAGGATGAACGGTGATACTTGAAACTAACAATGTCTGACTACCGACCAGTTTATAATTGGAACCAGCATAAACAGTAATTTGACTAGCACTAGCAGTCCAGACACAATGCGCAGCTGTAAGGATCCATCTTGCTGAAATGATTGATCCTCCACATAAGGCGGTTCCTATGCGCAACGATACAGCCCAACCCCAAGTTTGAGAACTTGCTGCTTCCCCTCCAACAATACGAGTCAAGGTAGCTGAATTCGTTGAACAGCCACATGACGAGCTTGAACTGCATCTATATGTGGTCGAAGAACTCAATTGCATAACTATGAAAACCAGAATTAAAGTAAGAATTCGCTTCATTCCTATTACGTATTCTTGTCGAGCATACAGGCTAAATGAGACTCAAAAAACGAAATGCATTCATTTTTTCTTTACCCTTCTATGTAATTTAGGTTTCTTTATTCAATTAGTCATTGTTGAAAAGAAAGTAAGATTTTTCTTGCAAATTGTGTATGATTTTCGATGCAGTCAACAAACTTGTTTTAATGTTGTTTAGAGACTTGCTCCAATCGATGCAAAGAAAAACATCAGGAAGACAAAGAGAGTATTGCGCACTGTTGTTACTTGATTTCGCATAGAGCAACAAATGTCTTTACTAAAGACGCAAAATTAAATTGCGCCCACCACTTTTGTTAAAAGAATTACGAAATACAACACTCTAAAAAAAAATCGGTTTTTTACCGAACCCCCAAAAAAGGTTCCGGAGATGTCTAAAAGCGTCCAAAGATGTCCAAAGTCTCAAAAAAAGGATAAAAAAATCTACGAAACCTTTAAAGGTTCTTACCGTGTACCCAGGATAAGAACCTTTTGCTGCGAAACCTTTTTTTAAGTTCCGTACAGAAGAAAAAGGTTTCGTAGGAAAATACGAAACCTTTAGAGTTTCATATTAAACCCTAATAGTTTCGTACTAAATCCTTATGATTTCGTAGAATTTAATACGAAACTCTAAAGGTTTCGTATTTTCCTACGAAACCTTTTTCTGCTGTACGGAACTTAAAAAAAGGTTTCGCAGCAAAAGGTTCTTATCCTGGGTACACGGTAAGAACCTTTAAAGGTTTCGTAGATTTTTTTATCCTTTTTTTGAGACTTTGGACATCTTTGGACGCTTTTAGACATCTCCGGAACCTTTTTTTGGGGGTTCGGTAAAAAATCGATTTTTTTTAGAGTGAAGGGTGTGGAATGTGGATGTAGATGTGTGTCGGTGTGGGTGTAGGTATGGGTGGATGTGGGTGTGGATGTGGATGGGTGTGGGTATGGGTGTGAGTGTGGGTGTGGTTTTCATGAGATGAATATCTACACCCACACCCACACCCACATCCACACCGACATCCACACCCACACCCACACCCACGCACAACCACACCCACACCCACACCCACACCCACACCCACACCCACACCCACACACCACCCACACCCACATCCAAAAAAAAGGTGTGTTCAAAAAGTTTTCGAAAGCATTTATTGTTTTCATGTTCTTTTTCGTTGTCACTACAGAGTCCAATTCATTTTTGTCTTTCTTTCACCGTTTAGATACTATACCACTAATTATTGATCAACATTTAAATGACCATCAGGACGTTCAAAACTTTACTGGTAATAATTTACATCTCAATTATTAATACATTTATTTTCCAGGTACTCCAGCAAATGTGAATGAAGCTCTTGGTGATATATCTGAACGTGATGATGATGATATGATCTCAACGAAAACAAAACCGACTAAAAAAAAACAAAAAAAAGCTGTATGAATTTCGAATTTATTGAATTTTGTTCCTTTAAGGTTTTTTTGTGTATTGTAGTCGCGATCAAAATCAAATGAATCTACTGCTGTTGAAATTTCTAATATTCAGAAAGAATTTTCGTTATTCAAATACAATGTTGACAAACGACTTAAGTCACTTGAAAAAACATATCGAATTTTGAAAAACAGAAATATTTTGAAAGAAGTGAGTCAGATTTGTTTTTAATAATTTAAGCATATATATTTAAATTTAGAGAAATGATCTGATAAACATTAACGATTTGATGCCTCAACCAACACAATCAGATCCAGAAGTAAGAAGAAGACTAATTAATCAACAATCGTCATTAATTTTTTTTAGTTTGCTCTTGGTGTTGATGTTAGCAAATTTAATTGTGCTTTTGATGAACATACAAAATTCGTACGACAAGTCTTTCGTCAAGCTAGATATGCATCAAATCCGAATTTTGTTTTACAAAACGAAGATATGGTTCTGAGTATCCAAAGTATGCATCGAGGATCTATGAATAATATGTTAATGAATGTTTATCTTTTATAGATGCAATGAAAAAGCGTGATCAACGATTACAACAAGATGAAGAATATTTTAAACATGTGTGGCAACTTGTAAAAGAATCAGTTAAGCAGCTCAAGCACGATCACAAACGAAATCTTACATTTCAAACATTACGTGCACAAATCGGTAATATGAATCCATCTCAATCTCAAGCTGCCGATATTCAATCATGTGAAAATAGTATTTCAAATAATTAATTATGGACTATATCCTATTCATTTATTTTTATTTAACTATATGTTCAAAATTATTGATTTTTTAATAAAAATTTACAGTAAAACACATTTCATATTACTAATCATGCTGAGGATATTGTTTTATGATTTTCGTGCGTCCAGCGCATGATATATATTGAATTTATACATAACTCATGCAAGCGTCCAAGTGCTTGTCTATGGAAAGAAAGTCATGCGCTATGGACACATCTTGAGGTCTGTGCAGGTCAAGAATGGAAAAAAAAGTTCGTCTATGGTAAGCATTTAATGTCTCCGTTATGGTGGAAGTCTGCGTCAGAGCTATAAATGTATAGTAAACGAACTCTTCATCTCAAATGAAAGTCGCAAAGTATACAACACTGCAGTACTACTATCGGTAACTTGAACATTTATCCTTCTTCTAGTAAACGGTAGCTCGAATATGTTCATCTACTAGTGAAATATTATGTGAGACTTAAGTCAAATGTGAGGATGTCGTTCTACCTTTACTTTACTTTATTCCCTCGACTGAAGGAAGGATGACACGAAAAAAATTAAAAAGAGTTTGTCTGTGTTCTTGTCGTCGGATCAAAGGTCGAAGGTCAAAAAATGTCAGAGGTGAAGTTTATTCAGGGGTAACTTCTGAAGTTTCACGAAAGGTAATTGAGGTCGGGAAATCCGATTCCGAGATCGGATTTTTCATCCGGCTTTCCCATTGACTAGAAAGTCGACCAATCGGAAATGAGTTTTTTTATTTTAAGGTTTTTCTACCTTTTGATGAAATTTTATGTTAGGCTATCGAGGGCCAGGATTCAGAATCTGACATCGGATTTTGTACCCAGCCTTCCCATTGGCTAGGAAGGCGACCAATCAGAAATGATCTTTTTTATTTTAAGGTTTTTCTACCTTCTGATGAAACTTTACTGTAGGTTATCGTGAGTCAAGATTCAGAATCTGAGATCGATTTTTGCACCCGACGTTTCCATTGGCTGAAAAGTTAACCAATCAGAAACGAGCTTTTTTTCATTGCTTTTTGTACATTTTGATAAAACTTCACTATAGATTATCGACAACCGGGATTCTAAATCTGTGATGGAATTTTGTATCTGCCCTTTCCATTGACTAGACAGCCGACCAATTAGAAGTCAAACTTTTTATTTTAATGCTTATTCGATCGTTTGATAAAAGTTTAGAATAGATTATCGCTATCCTGGAATGTGAATATCAAGTCGGTTTTTCGATTTGAGCTTTCATTAGTCAGAAATGGACCAATCAAAAAATGAGCTTTTTTACTCTTGACTCAAGGGATGGTCATATGAAATAAAATGAGTTTTTGGTCTATCAGTTATTGGGAGAGTAACACATTCAAATGTGTTAGCATGATTACAGGTTGAAAAATCGGAGTAACATCAAATATGTATGAAGTTTTTGTCTGGCCGCCAATTCAGCCAATAAAATATTTTCAGTGTTTGTCTATGAATCTGTCAAGCTTTATTCAACTAGCAGCAATTTTATCTGTTTCCGTTTCTTTCTCTACTAGCTGGTGTGTTTAGGATGCGTTGATGTGTAATTGGAACATTTACTCTGATACTAATGTGCAATCAGTGATTTTTTTAGATGATGTGCGCTTGACCTTAGCTGATGAGTTGCATCAGATCAACTTTATTGTAAGTTGTCCTATCTAGATGTGGTTCTTGAAGTAGATATGTGCCAGAGAAAAATATTAAAATTGCATTTACGCCAAACGCATTTAGGGTCCCACCAACATTCTCATCCACGCGGACAATACTTCTGAAACTCAAAGTTTAGTTGTGATCGATCCGACAATATCAGTATTCAAGTCTACTCTCATGAATTTTTTTCTGGCGAAGTATTCACCTACTTGCATATTTTTTCAGGAGTTCTGACTCGTATAACTTTTATAGTCCCCATAACTCGAAGAAGGTAATATAAAAAAATATTCGTAGATGAGGGTGATTGAACTTGTGGGCCTTTTTTCCTCGAGAAGCATAAGAGTAAAAAAAAGAGCCCTCATAGGCACTGCATTCGGACATGTTCTTTCAAACAAAAAAAAAGAACAATCAAGCATATTGAATGAATATCCACAGAGAATTTTCGGAAACGCGATAAGCTATTCTTCGATCATTGTTTGGTTCTTATCTCACTTCTGCATCAGAATAGGTGTCTGAAAATTTTACCGTAGACGTTCTTTTACAGCTCCAACATATTCTCAAAGTTTCATGACATTTGGATGTTCCTGGAATAAGATCGATTTTTGAGGGAGGGGCCACTTAAGTGTACTGATGTAAACGGAGCGACGAGCCGTGAATGGCGTCTCCAAGGGACGGCGACGAACGATTAGTCGCTCATATTGCAAGTATATTGCAGACTCACCTCACAAAAGATCTGTGTAAAAGCTAGATTTTTTTGAGAATACTGCACTAATAGTTCCTTAATGAAGAATCTCAATAAAACTCTGATTTTCCAGTTAGACAATGAAATTGAAGAAATCAGGAATAGTTCACAACAAAGCTTCGGGTTAGAAATTCCTGTCGAGAATTCTCGTGCTACAGATCTAACGATTTTTCAAAATAAGCCGAGTCTGGGATTGGGTGGAGTGTAAATAGAAAGGAATAGCCTTATGGAGGAATAGAATTAAACGTAGCAGCGGCTAGCCGTGAGTTGCGCGCTGGAGGAGCGCCGACGAACGACTAGCCGCTGCGCTGAAAAACTCCCTGAAGAACAGCTTCAAACTGTTTGGATTCATCGGATAAACGTCAACAGTCGAGATCTAATGGATTTGAATAGGGACTAACAGTGGCAAAGAACTGAGAAATATTTTGAAATAAAGTGTGAGAACGGCTTTTCTGCACGTCCACAATATTTGCATAGCACATTTGACGGAAAACATCACTCAAAAGAATTTACATTCGCTGTATCGGACGTAGATATGAATGAAATAAAAGGGAGTTTTTCTGTTTGTATGTGTTCTTGTCTGTGTTCATTCACGTGTCGGAATGTATACAGATATATTCAAACTACCGGTATAGTCTGACGGCTACTTTGAGTAGAAACTTCTTTCAAGTATGGTATTTCGATTACAGACCAGATCTAATATGATTTATATTAAGCTATGAGTTCAGCTAAGCTGCTATTTTTCTAGCGGACGCTCTAGTAAACAACATTGTTGGCAAATATGCTAGTAAGCATGCGAATTTCTAGTCGAATTTTCAAAGAGTATGGTGCGTTTTCACAATAGTGTCGTGAATGCGTTTTGCTTCGTGACCTGTCAGGAAATTGAATGTAGTCTCTTTTTTCGGATGCGTACGGATACTGCTGCCGTAGTGTAGTTCTTTAGATTTCTGTTGAGTATCAGTGAGTGGATATCAATTTGATTAGACGAATTTATGACAAAAATCATCACACAGACTGCGTACCATTGTACACAACAGGGCTCGAAATGGGCCACATTGGATGGCCTGACCAGACCCGGTGGGGCCCGGAAATTATTTAAGCCTGCTCGGTCTAACTCAAGTTTTGCTCAGCCCGACCTGGCTCAGTTTATTGGCTAGGCTGGCTCGGCCCAACTCGGGCCCAAACGAAACTTTTTTTTTATACATTTGTTTCCTCAATAAAGCTTATAAATCACTACAGTGGTTGCTTATGTACTGGGGAGCAAATACCCTGCCTGATTTTGAGTTTAATTAGCTTAGACTCTGGAACCAAAAATAAAATTACTATGCGAGACGTTGAATTGCTTCTTAAGTGAAACAAACAAAAATATTCAAGGTTTTAGAACTCCATAATGCTCATTCTACATAGCACGATATCCTCTATAGTAGCATGTCTTAATTGAGTTACACTCGTGAAAAATTCACTGCATTTCTCAATGGAGGTATGTTTATTCTATTTTGACTATACAGTGAGCTAGCTAGTGGTCAAAAGCAATTTGTGAACAAGAAAAAATTTTTTGAGAGTGTGGGTGGGGTGTGGGGTGAGGTGTGCGGATGTGGGTGGAGTATGGGTGTGGGTGAGTGGGTGTGAAGGCGTAGCTGTGGCTGTGAGCGTTAGCGTAGATGTCTGACAAGAAGCAAATTCACACTGGCACCCACATCCACCTAAGTCCACACCCACACCCACACAGCCACACCCTCATGACGAGGTGATAAACTAATGCAAGCACTGTTGAGAGAGAACTGTAGATATGCTCTAGTTTGATGCAATCGTCGTCAACGAGCGGTCTTCAATTTCATCTCCTCTTTTGGGGAATGCGTGAAGAGCCGTACTTTTTCGGGCAGCCACATCAGCAGGTTGTTATTTTCTTTCTTTGTTTACACAAATGAAATGAAACGAAATACAGTGTTTTTTTTCTTTCAATCACGTATGGCAAAAAAAAATGCAGCGCATATGTCAATAACATCGCTCATTCTCTGTTTACTTTTACTTTCATGTTGATTTTTCGATCCTTGCGCTCGTTTCTTTTTCTCCAACCGATTGTTGTTGTTTGTCTATAGCGAAAAAGAGTACTTCATTTTTTGAAACAATTCATTTTTGTTTTTCGCTTTCAACATACTATTAATATAGTAAGTTGTATATTCGATCTCTTATCAATGTAACTGTAACATTTTGCTGAGCAGCAGTTCGACATACACTGACAGTCAACTCCAAGGGGAAAAGCGGATTTTTTGGATTTTAAATTCAAAAAAATCCCAAATAATCGCAAATAATCTCAAAAAATCCCAAAAAATCCCAAAAAATCTTCTTTGGATTTTAGAATCTGTAAAATCCCAAATCCACTTTTTCCTCCTTGATCAACTCTAGCAAGAAAACGACTTCCCAATGAATTATTTCCTTAGAGTGAAAGGATAGGGTCCAGAAATGGAAATTCACCTGTGCCTGTCCAGCTGTCTGTAATGCAGTTACCAGATGATAAGTATGAGAAAAATAGCCATAAGTATGGAGAAAACAGCCATAAACATGGCAACGATGAGATTCCATGAAGA